TCGTGCCTTTTTTTTTTTTTTTTTTTTTTTTTTTTTTTCTTGTTTTTCCCCCCTTGATATTTAGCAGAAGGACCCTTTCTGCTAAATATGGAGTCATGGCAGCTTCGCTTATAGTGAGATGGGCCATTGAGCTTTCGTTATTGTGGGAATGTATTCCTAAGCCCCCCACATGCATCCTCACACACTTGCTTAGAGCAGCCCATGCTGCAGTTACTATGCCATTTAAGCATGCATCTGTACATCAGTTAAGACCTCATGAGTAGTGCAATACTTTTTTCTTTTTAAAAAACAAAAAAACAAAAACATGTCTTAGCACTTTGAAATAACTATTCCCAACATGCTCTGAGATTGGTCATTATGGCAACGGGATTGGAGGAGGAAAAACGTAATTATTTTGCTCTACACGTGATGCTGGGATAACTTGATTGTTATTGTAAATTTAGTGATGATTAAATATAAACAATTTACTGTAAAATGAATACAAATCTGCATAGTGCTTTACTGGGACAAACCGAGCTGATTTTTACTGGGAAAACCAGACAGCGAGGGTAGAATAGTTGAACCAAGCACAAATCTGTGCCTACACCTTATGAAGTCCTTCTGGGCCATGTGAGCATCAGAAACTTAAATATAATTTTCATTATTATTGTTGCTTTCAGTTCTCCAGACTGGATGTAATCTGTGCTTTCATTTGGTCCCAGTATCTTGCCATTATTATTATTATTATTATTATTATTGAGTACATGTACAAAAACTTGTGTTTATGCGTTGGGGCCAGGGAAGGGGGGGGGGTGTTCTTTGCTACAGAATTCATATTGAATTTGCTTGTAGTGAAGTTTGTTTTGTTTTTTTCTGTCTACCATCCTTGTGTGTACTTTTTTTTTTTTTTTTTTGTAGACTTTTCCTTTAAATGATGAACACAAATGTGCGCTATTTTATTTTTCTATTATTCAACAGCTGTTTTCATACGATTAGCTAGGATTATACAATTATCTACATTAATTTTATATTTGTTCTGTTATAACCTGTTTATCATTCGTATGACTAGTGATTAAAGTTATACTGTATTAAATAAAATTTAAAAAAACCTATGCCAACCTGTGTCTTTGTACAGGCGGTGTGTTTCTTGGGTTTCAAAGCGGCACTTTTACTGTTCTTCACTGAATATGGTATCATTGTGTCGACAAACGCAGCTTCAGTCTTGTACTTAATGCAATGACATAAATGAAAACATGACAATTATAAAAGTAAAGCTAGGAATAAAAGATGTCTCTCACATCGTGCGCATGAATCAGTTTTTCTGATTTTAAATAACGATTTGAAAGCTGCACAACGGAGCAGATTTAATGGTATGCTGCTGTTGTCAAACCCATAAGGCAACTTTATTGACTTGGTTCCTGTTCACTGCGCTCAGCTTCTTGAGGAAAAACGTTATTGCTGTACATTAACTGGAGCAAAACCTGCAGGCTAGTTTAAGCAGAAAACTCAACCTGCATTGCATCATGCACAGCAGCATGCCTCACTCTCCTCAATTCACACCAAAACCCTTCCAATCTCTTGGTCTGCTTAAGTTGTTTCAACCTCTTCACCATGCCTGCATCCACCTGTAAGCGCTGGGGATTTTTTTTTTTTTCCATCACTACCCAACTTCTCTGGTTTCATATTTGTAGAGAGTGATGAGCCTCGAACCACCAGCTGCATTTTTGCTGTAATAAATCAATGGTATAATCCTCTGATACCAAATGTATCATTTGACACGAGTTTTTGAGACCTCTGCATTGTAAGCAACAAATCGCACAAGCTTGAGCAAACTGATATTTAAGTTCGGTTGTAATTTATCAGAAGCTTCAAAAAGCACTCTTAATTATTTTATTTTTTTAAAGCAAGTCAAGTATCTGAATACATTATTGAAGAAGCTCATAAAGTTATACTTTGCTAGTATGTGTATGGAGAAAATCCCAGAAGATCCACAGTTTCTAAAATACTGGGACCAGCCCATCCATGACACGTCCAAAGTCTCCTAGATCACTTCTCTTCCCCATTATGTCAGTTTGAACTTGACCATGTCTAAACGCATTGAGCTGCCCCTATGACTCGCTGATAAAGAGATTTACCAGATTCTGAACAAGTGTATCTAAAAAGAATGGCTATTAAGTCTATATGAAAAATCATTAAGCAGTGACCAAATCTTTACCCAATTGAACACTTTTTTTTTTTATCCAAAAATAGCAACGATCCCTCAGAGTGACCCAGATTTTCTCCCTGCGCATTTATTGGTAATAACTAATAGCAAACATAGCTTTAAAAAAAAAAAGTAGCTTCTCGCCACAAATACAATCGTAGAGACAATATGATCTCTTCCTTTATATAGCATTGATACGGGGCTTACAAAGTGCAGAAATAACTATATAGCTATAGACTATTAAATAAGAGGAAGGTTGCTGTTTTCACTGTCTACTAAGGCATTGTGATTGTAGACAGTATTAAAACAAAAAAAATTTTTTTTTCCTTTATAATTACAGAACAGTCTGCGCAATGAGCTCAATTACAGAACTTTTCAGTAATTTCACACATTGATTTCTTACAGTTTAAGCAGCATTTCTTTATCATACAGAAATCCAGAGGAGAATTGTTGACACTGCATTTCTTTCTCCTTCCTTCAAATATCTCCGTGATTAAGTCCAGTTCTTCACACTGACAGAAAGCCGACTTTCACTGGTAGAGCTTCGTGTGGCCCGCGGTGTAAAATGAACTTGACACCCCCACCGCCGCCCTCGGTAATCCTCCACCAGTATCGGAACTGCAGGTTTTGCGCGTGGTGGAGAGGAGGCTGTTTCCCTGCGATGCTGCCTCGGTTTTTAGCGGGTCATATTCAAACGCAGAGTGACGTGTCTTCCAGTTTGCGCCAATGCCAGTGGAGAGGGGGCGTGTCCAACTATTTTGTTACAAACACGAATCCGGAGTAAGGAGTCTTTTTACTGGGTATGTAACGGCTGCTTAAACTAAATAATATCAAGAGTGTCGCTGCGTTACGATGCGTGTGATTGTTGCGAAGGATCTGAGGGCGGTCTGGTGTCAGTGGTGGCTTTTTTTTAACATTCTTATTATTTTGTGCGCGTAAATGAATTGCGAGGCTCTTGTTTCGCGAGTAAACGGCAGCAGAATAGCCAGCTTCTTAAGGTGTTGGCTGCTTAAATGTGCGGGATGGCATTATGTCGGCCAGTAAACAGCCTCCCGGGGCTGTGTGGACACCATCTGAGGCATCCCCTCTGTCTGCGAGTCGAAGCATTTTTGTCTGCAGCGTTGTGTGAGCGTGTAATGGATCGGCAGGGGGAAGGAGGGGAGGGGGTGTAGTTGTTGTGGTGAGACAGGTTAGACATTTTTACTCCCGACTAGTGAAGTAAACAAAGAGAGCTGCAATACGCGCGGTGGTTCTGTCTGCGGGACCCGAGAGAGGGAGAGGGGGGGGGACGCGGAGAATGGCGTGGCTCCGGTATTGCCACACAGCTCCGCCGTAGTTCTCGTTTCGTTTGACTTTGGCATTGTTTAGTAAGGACGACCGGATCGGCTCTTTCTGTCCGCAAAAGCCGCCGTGCTGGCCGCCGAGGCCCCACTGAATCTCCCAGTCAACCGGTACTCACGTAAAACAAACCGCGAGTGAGTGAGTGTTTTAGTGCCGCGAACCCTTTTGTTTGTGGACTCCGCAGCCAGCGTCGACCGAGCGAGTGCGCGGTGCAGACGGGCTGGCTGGTCCTGCTAGCTGTGCGCCTCGGTGCTGGGGCTGTCTCCGCGTTTCATCCAGATGGGAACTTAAAGGGGAGCACTTTAATGTTACGCTTTTTGTTCGGTTTGGAGCGTTCGTGGAGATGGGTGTAATTATAACGGGGGGGGGGAACCAACTCGGGATAGTGAAGCTGTGCGTGTGTATGTGTGTGCTGCAGCCGACGGTCGCAGCTGAATCCTCTGCCTGGGCTGGAGGGAGGAATCCCGGGCTGCTGTTGCAGCTCCGCCTGTCGTGGGCGAGGGTTTATTTCGGAAGTTCCACCTTTTTAGGGGATTTGTAATGCGGGATCCGTGCAGCGATTGGCTGCAGTGCCTCCCACTTCCCCGCCCCCTTACTGTGGGAGGGACACAAGCCTTAACGGTACAGCCCGCCCACAAAAGTCACGTGCTGCAAAACTCCAGGAAGTAGTTAATTGTTTTTCGAGATCTATTGGTTGGGTGGATGGATAGATTACTTAATGAACGTTAATAGGGAAAATGCAGTATTGCAAACAGCAGGGCAGACAAAAAGAATTAATACATAGATGCAAAAACTAATTTAAAATAGAAACCAGAAAGACCGAAAATTCCAAATATTTATTTATTTATGTTTATATTATAGCTCCAACCATCACAGCATTTTAAATGCATAGGTCCTGGACAATAGCAGCCACTGCAGCAGAAAAGTCCTAACTTTTTTTTTTGTAAAACAACTCCTTGAAACATTTTTTGTGGGAAGTTGAACTGTAAATCTACTCTTACACAATACCGCCAAAGGAACCCTGCATCTAAGCATTATATTTTACATTAAAATTCTGCAGACTATCTTGCATGTAGAAAAGCTGCAATTTGGTATGATGTGATGCTGATGCCCAGTGTGTGCTGTGAACTAAACTTCAACTAAACTTCATCTTAGAAGAGCCATACCATAGAGCCCCAATCATTCTGTTACTATATCCATTGAGTCAAAAAACAAAGAAATATCAATAATCACACTTGTCCTTTATTTATTAAGTAGTTATTATTTATTGAACATCCATCAGTTGTGCAGTAAACAACATGGAATATATGTGGATGTGTTGCTGTTGTTGATTGTTGAGGTTAAAAGACCAAGACTTACAATTTAAACCAGTGGTGTCAATCACATTTTACACTGAAGACAACATACTGTATACTTTGATCATAAGTGGGTGGGATGAGTAAAAACATTTTTTTACATAAAATACAGAAAAGATTCTACAGAAAAGGTTCTGCCAATTCATTGACCAGACTGTCCTGTAATTATAAAATATGTTTTCATGAATTCACAGAAAATGTACTTGTACCCCCATGGACTCAATGTAACAGAATCCAAAAAACAAAACAAAACACAGAATTGTTATAGTACATAGTGGAGAAACTGGAACTTTTCTGTAATATAACTGTTTATCTATTATTTAATTACTTTAGCTTAGTAGTAATGGAACTGGGGTTGAGGGGCATAGTTGGAAAACCTGTAAAACTTATGAAAATACAGTTAAAAGTTCAAAATCTATGCATTCCTTCTCAAAGCTGGCCAGTGGGCAGGATTGGAGTCTTGGCTGGGCCAATTCTGGCCTCCACATCTTATGTTTGACATCACCAGTGGATGCTATTTAAAACCCAGTAACTGCCGTCTGTATAATGTTCAAATTCATCTTCAAAGCAAGAGAAAAAAACTCTCAAATGCTCTTTAAACTTTTCCCTGGTCAGTAACATGCTTATTCCTCTTGATAAAACTCATGCGGCGCCTTATCTAACACCTCCGTGACCGTGTTATACCTTAATAATGGACAGGCTGTGCTTTCTACGTTCGTCTCTAAACATGGTGCTATTATGCTTTCCCCATTTATACTGCAGCTGAGCCTCTCCGCTCTGTGCTGGCATTATCGCGCTTCAAGTCAAAAGGGTGTGCTTGGTAACTACTCGAGAAATCTTTGATTGACAGTTCAATTTCACAACCGAATACGTCGCCCCGCCCTTGTCCGGGTTCTTCGAACAGACTGACCAATAGCTCCTAAAAGGAGGACCGCTTTTCACTCCAGGGTGAAAACCCCGCCCACCCCAGCTAACCGAACGGAGATTGTTTTCGTTTGTAGGGGAGATTCTCACTTTGTAGCTTGAATTGTTTATTTCAAGTAATACTCCATCGATTAATTGCTTTTTGCAGATACACTGAGTTTCTGTCTTCTCCAGTCAGTGGTGTAGCCTTTCACCACGAGCGAACGGATTATCGTACCATCATCACCGAACTTCTGCTTGCTATTTGGGAGAGAGGGGTGAGTTCATTCAGCAAGCTAGTGTTGGCAAGCTAACTCCCTCCAGTCAGAAGACGTTTTAACAAGATCACGTAGATGATCGATGCTTCTTTGTATGCCGTTCACTCATAAGTTGATCTAAATCCATCAGTGTGGCAAATCAATAGCAAATATTCGCCGTTTCAGCGAGAGCCCACCAGATCGCTAATGGCTTAGCTGCATGTGCTTCCCTCTCCTAGCCCCGGACAGCGATCGGTGTCAGGCTACTCATGTTGTTTACATTAGCTAGCTGCTAGCAGACAGCAAACAACTCCCGTCGACAGAACAAGTTCCCAGCAAAGTTAATTAAAATAAACAGTATACATTTATTTTAGCCTGACCGTTCAGCAGGGTGCCTTGCGTACGAGTTGCTCTTGGCTCTTACCTGCTGGAAAATGGGAGTGTAAACGCGCTGAACTCCTGCGCCACGCTCTAAATGGCGGGCGTGGGGAAAGCGTAACTCGAGGTCGCTGCTTGTAAAGGCCTGTAAACGGGACGGGAGAACCGCGGTTGTGGGGCTGTTACCGTGTAATAGACACAACCGCGTTTTCATATTGGAGGACTGTAACGTTACTACACTGCGCTTCTGTCTGTAAATACCACAGGCTGGCTTTCTTTGGCCGTGCGGAACGACTCGTTTGCTGGCACGGTGGAACTCAGCTGCTGGTGGGAGCAGAGAGGAAGCGTCAGAAGCAGCAGCGCACGAGCACTCGAGTTTATCATTGTGTTACTTTTGCTCGACACACGCGTGTAGAATTTTATTAGCTGCCTGACTTTATCGCTTTTATCTTTTTTTTAAGTACGCCATTCCTTCGAGTGCCCGCGAGTTGCCGTCGTCTTGAGGAAGTTGTGAATGGCAGACCGACTTCCACGTTCCCACAGCACCTGTTTGTCGGTGACGTAGGCTGTGTGTCTCATTGGCTGCTCGGAGCGCGAGTCGTACATTCAGTTCATGCTAACGTTGTCATCCATGTATCACGTAGAGACACGGGACAGATAAGACAAGGCACAGGGGATCCGCGACAAGCCACAAGTTGTCGTAGAAATATTTTAACCGGTATTTTTGTCAGCGGCGTAGCCAGAAATAACAGAAAAATACACAATACACTTTGGCTGCGTGTTGCTGAGGGAGGGGGGGCGGGGTATAATTAAATCATGTTCATCGATTCATTAACGTGGCTATTACTTTAATGTAGCAGTTGATTTAATTGCCTGTATACTGCCGTATTATTATAGCTAATACTACCTGTGTATATTATGTATACATTTGAAAACTGCAAAATAATAAGAAACTAGAACTCTGACGAAAATTAAAGTTTATTATTTCCATCCAAAATACACTAAAGTAGAAGCTGAAAGCAGCAAAACATGCAAGTACTTAAATAAAGTGCAAGTACACGGAGCAGTATTGGAAAGTAGTGAATTACCCATGATTAAATTATTATGGTACACACATTTTGTAGCTTCATCAGCTACATTATTTGTGATTCAAGTCCTTGTTTTAGCCAGTTTTTTTATGTGCACTGCTGGAGTGGTAAACACCATTTTTACCATACTCCTGTACAGTTGTCTTCTTCCCTTTGAAAAATACTGGCTAAAATGTGTTATGTTTTTAATTTAAATATGGGCAGGAATATTTGTAAAACTAACTTAAGAAAAAAAAACTTATTAATCAGAAGGAAATTCATACACAGCAACCAGGCTTCCCCCACACATAATAAAATCAAAATAGAAAATTCACTAAATACAAAATATGTTCCCCGGCCTCACATGGGAACTTTTGCAGTAAACGTAACTTTGTGGCATTCTTGCTGCGGCGGGCAAGAGGGAGGGTACAGATAACACTGGTGCAGAAGTGCACAATGCAAAACAACAAAAAGACACCCCCCCCCCCCCCCCCCCCCCCCCCCACCCCCCCCCAAAAAAAAAAGAAAGAAAAAAGAAAGAAAGAAGAAGTGGGGACTCAAGACTCCCAGGTGCTGTATCCTGTGTGTAGTTCACCTTTGCCTGCCAGCTTTTCTTGAATTCTCCAAACATGCACATGGCCGAACAGCTGTTCATGAAGCGCCATATTCATGCATAAAATTTGGATATAGTTTCTAATGAGAAAAAAATGCTGTCAAAGTAGTCAAATCACATGTTAATGAATCAATATGGTCACATTTTATTGACCTTGATAAACGTAGAGGCTTCTTTTTGGTGCTGAAAGCATCAGACGTTTCAATAAATCTGCGTACTGTGAAGATGGTTATGCAATCATTTTCTGCCACAGCCAAACAAGAAAAGTGGTTCACTGTGTGTGTGTTTGTGTGTCTATAAATTCACAGTACAAGCAAAAAAATATATATTCCCACAAATTCTTGAATGAAATTGTTAGTGTGATGTAATCGATTCAGATAACTTCTCAGAGGTCTGAGAAAATGGGCTCCATATGTTGCTGTGTATTTACAGATCTCGCAGCTCTCCCGAGTATGCGTACATAATGAAGCGGCGTGGGGAGGATCCGGAAACGGTTTTTGCGTCCCCGCAGCGGCGCCTCGGTGGCAACGCGGAGGCTTTCCAGCATCGTGTCCTGGCCCCTGCTCCAGCTCCGGCTGTGTACGAGGCCGTGTCTGACAACATGCAGCCCACAGCAGGCGTCCAGTACTCCGTCCCACAAGGATATCAGGTACACCGCGTTGGCCCGCTCAAGATTTATTTGATCGTTTTGTTTGAGGAGTTATCATTTAGTGAGGACATAGCAACTTTTCTTTACTAAGCACTCACAACTCATGCTCCAGGCTTCCCCACCTGTCAGCTGTGCACATTCTGTCTATGTGTCTCAGTTTATATCACCTTGAGGGGACTGTTGTTGTGATTTGGCACTACCTAAACAAAACTCAGGACTATGTGGCACTTTCACATGGTACTATTTGCTGTACTTTTAATAAAACCTCTCTGATTTCCTAGGTTCCCACAGTGGCCCAGAACAGTGGCGGGCATGGGCACACTCCAAGCCCAGCTGTCCATGGGGGCTCCCACCACCACAGCCCGGCAGTGCAGTCCCACGGGCCCTCGGTCATGTCAGGGCACACCCATACAGTTGCTCCTCAGGCCTCTGCACAGGGCCAGCAGCAGTTCCAGAGACTCAAGGTCTGTAAATCTAATTTTACTTTTACAGTTGAAAATGCTAAAGAGGTTTGGGGAAATTAACAAAGCTACATTATTAGAACTTCTCTGGAAATGAGTTTATTTTTAAGTCATTTGCTTTTTAGTTTGTTGTTTTTTGGTAGCTTTTATTTAAATTTGCACCATGATTGTAAAAACAAATAAGATCCATTCATAGTGATGGTTCATTATGCCTTAGACTGAAACATTTAAAATGTGTGGTAGTAGAGAAAATCTGTCCTTTTTAGGCAGATCACACATCAGTTGTGAAATTCAGTTCAGTTTATAGCTGATGCAGGTACCAGTGTTTTGGAAAAAAAAAATCATGGCACATAAAGCTGGCTTTCCTCTCTCTCTCTTGCTCTCCCTAAGGTGGAAGACGCTTTGTCTTACTTGGATCAAGTGAAGCTGCAGTTTGGCAACCAGCCACAGGTCTACAACGACTTTTTAGACATAATGAAAGAGTTCAAATCCCAAAGGTGAGGCCACGGTGGTTTTGATTAAAGATTGATCCCTTAAAGGTTGACCGATTTTCTAGAGCAAATTTAAAATTTGATCGTGTTACCTACAGGAGTAGACGAATAAATAAATATTCAATGGCAGGAAAGTTATAATGCAGGTTTTTTTCTTGAATCGTATTAGCGTACAATTAAAGTGAGCAGTTAAATACAGTGGGGGAAAAGTATTGGGGTTATTTATCTAATTTATTTACATGAGTTTTTTTCGGTTCATCGTGAATGGTAGCGGCTCCATACTGAATCCAATAACCTCACGGACGGTCGCACTGGAGTGAAGTTATGATAATACGTTTTAACGAGCCGAGGACGGCGCCTTAATTTAGCACAATTGCAATAAAAAGCTTCTCGACACGTGTTAAACCACAGCAGCGACATTCTCGCTTCTAAACTGCGTCTCTGAGCGAACAAATTGAGAGGGAAAGTTCCTGAGCGAGCTAGAATAAGCGTCAGCGGATCTTTTCAGTCATGTCACTTGAGTTTGGACACGGTTTGCAGTTAAGTAGAAGAAAAGCAACAAACACTTTTGCAAACATACAAACAGAAGGTAATGGTATTTCAGGGGTGAAGCACCTCCGAGTCTGCTGCTTAGCGTAGCTTAGCTTAGCTTAGGATAGCTTAGTTTTGTTCGAGTTAGCTTGTTTCATGCTAGGTTGGCACTTTCGCTAGCTGCTGCGGCCGCCGCGTAGCGAAGTAAACAACAACAATGAAATGTGTAGACGAAATGATTCGTGGTACTAACGTGGACCTAGACATTAAACGTTTTTGACCAGTCGTTTATTTTACTTTTTTCCCCTTCTCCATAAAACGAGCTGGCATTTTTTTCACAAGCAACAACTCTTGTACAGTTAGCACCTACAGAGATGCATTTATATGGTTTAATTTAAAGTCCTAAGAGTACACACTGCTCTTGATGCCTGAGATGTTGCCAGGTTTTAAATGTACTCGAGATGTCTCCCCAGGTATAACTGAATTTTCAAATTCTTTCTGCTTTTGCGTTTCCAGTATTGACACTCCCGGAGTGATCAGCAGAGTGTCACAACTCTTCAAAGGTCACCCTGACCTCATCATGGGCTTCAACACTTTCTTGCCTCCCGGCTACAAGATCGAGGTCCAGACCAACGACCTAGTCAATGTGACGACACCGGGTCAGATCCACCACATCACCCCACATGGCATTTCAGTCCAGAACATCCCCATATCGGGAGCTGCTCCCCAACCTCAGCCTCCGCTTCCCTCATCTGCAACCACCACTGCTCCGCCCCTTCTAACACAGCCCACGCCTGCCAAGACCAGCAAGGTGAGAATAAAATGTGGTGGAGTAGAAACTTTTTTTTTTTTTACTGTGAAGCATGTGTTTCAGTACACTTAAAATCTTTCCTGTTTCAGCCTCCTCAGCCCCAGGCGTTAACACCAAGCAGCCAGAGCAATCCGTCCATCCCTGCCTACACCTCTCCCCGTTCGCCACCTATGCAGCTCCACCCACCACTCAGCGGGACCCCCACAGGCCCACCCATGCAGAACAACCAGCCAGTGGAATTCAACCATGCCATCAACTACGTCAACAAGATCAAAAACCGCTTCCAGGGCCAGCCCGACATTTACAAAGCCTTCCTGGAGATCCTCCATACTTACCAGGCCAGTGTCTCAAAATGAAAGCCAGAGTGAAGTTCTAAAGCGTTTCTGAGCTTAAATTTTGAATTTACATTAAAAGGAGCTTTTAAAGAGGACCTTTTATGCTGATTTCCAGCTGTTTTTGCTGTAGCCCTGTACTGTTCCTGCATGCAGTGTCAAAATGTATGGAAAAGCTACTGTTTTTTGTTAGTGCTGCTCTTGGTCATTTAGCCTGGCTTCTACTATGGACTACACAGAAGCGGCCACAATTCATGTAATGAGATATATGACAGGAAAAATATTTAAAAAGCCCAGTAGAGCGACTTTTAATCACTCAATTTGTTTGTGTTCCTCCACCCACAGAAGGAGCAGCGTAATGCCAAGGAGGCTGGAGGAAACTACACACCAGCTCTGACTGAACAGGAGGTTTATGCTCAGGTGGCCAGGCTCTTCAAGAATCAGGAGGATCTACTCTCTGAATTTGGGCAGTTTCTCCCTGATGCCAACAGTTCAGTGGTGAGAAAATCCATGTATTTAATGTACCGTATTCTACTCATGAGTTCAGATTTATTAGAGACACCTTAAACACAAAGGTAAAGTTTATTCATTAAAATCAGCCTCTCAGAATAATGTTCCCCCCCGTAGTCTGTGATCTGTCATGTTGATGCGCTCGTGTCTTAATCTGTGTTTTGTATTCGTCGTAGCTATTAAATAAGACCACTGCTGAGAAGGCCGAGTCTGTACGAAACGACCACGGTGGCACTGCCAAAAAGCTTCAGCTCAACAACAAGCAGAGGCCCAATCAGAACGGCTGCCAGATCCGTCGCCATCCCACGCCTGGGGCCACGCCCCCTATCAAGGTACATGCAGTCTCATACTGCTAAGTCCAATTTGGTTTTATTTCCATGTTTTATGTGAAGTGTTTCGCAGCAAAAATTTTCTAGCACAACTTCACCTGCTTCCAAGGTGCATGGAAGGATGAAAGAATTCACAAAGCAGGAACTCCAGCAACACTTGAGGGAAGATGATTATTAAAGTTGTTCGTCTTCCCTCAAGTGTTGCTGGAGTTCCTGCTTTATGTGAAGTGTTTGAAAGTTTTGGTTTTTAAATTATTGAACCTGTGTCTTGAATGTCGTTTTGGGAATGCTGCAGAAGAAGCCGAAGTTACTGAACTTGAAGGATTCCTCAGTGGCAGAGGCCAGCAAGCATGGAGTCGGCACAGAATCTCTGTTCTTTGAGAAGGTGAGTTTGTATTTTGTTTTTTAGTTTGAATAAGAGGAAAGGGGAATTAAAAAGTGGATCGTCTTCCTCCATCCCACCCTGTCCCTAGCTTCCTCTTTTGTCACACGAACCCACTGCATGTCCTCCTTCACTACATCCATGATTCTTCTCTATATTCTTCCTCTTTTCCTCCTGCATGTTAGCTCCATATTTTCCAGCCTTTGTTCCAATATATACACTATCCCCCCTCTGCACTCCTCTGTCCAAACAATGTTTAACATAATCACAGAGCAACTTAACTTTATTTGCTAGTTTATCCGAAGAGCACAGGCTTTGTGTTGGTGGTTCTTGTTGTTCTCAAAAACTTGACTTATGCCACAAGACTTCAGCAGATTTTTATATTTTAGGTGCGCAAAGCCTTGCGAAGTGCAGAGGCCTACGACAACTTCTTGCGATGTCTGGTCATCTTTAACCAGGAGGTGATTTCCAGAGCTGAACTGGTGCAGCTGGTGCTGCCGTTTTTAGGGTGAGTAACTCGGATCACGTAAAATATAACTTTTGCAGTAAATTTGATAGATTTATTTATTTTATTTTTTGGTTGTGTGTTTTTGTTTTTTTTTTTGTTTTGTTTGTTTTTTTTATATCTTTCTGTTAAACAGAAAATTCCCTGAGCTATTCAACTGGTTCAAAAACTTCCTGGGGTATCGTGAAATGTCCCACATTGAAACATACCCCAAGGAGCGGGCTACCGAGGGCATCGCCATGGAGATTGATTATGCTTCCTGTAAGAGACTAGGCTCCAGTTACAGAGCCCTGCCTAAAAGCTACCAGCAGCCCAAGTGTACAGGCAGAACTCCACTTTGTAAAGAGGTGAGAGAGGAGTGGACATCCAGGCGCTCATAAAGCTACTGTGTTGTTCTTTAACAGCAGTTGTCCTTTTTTCTGCTTTGATTTAGATTTATCTTGTTTATCATTTCTGAAAGTAGCTGTTGAAACTCACTTGTCATTTCTTCCTGGTTGATTGGTTCGCATTTGCAAACAGGATTTGTACAGTAGGAAGGGGAGGGGCTTCTGTACTCGCAGCCTGAGCTGTGTGCATTAAAGCCCTTATTTAGCTTCTCTGCTCTCATTGAGTTTAGCCTTTAGGCTCACAGGGATAACTTGTACATGAGCTGAAAATTCTTTCCTTGGTTGATATAACGTATATGAATATAATATGCAATGCTGTCAGAAAATAAGAAAAAAATCTTTTTAATACTTTAGAGTGATATTGGAAGATTGTATATAAAAAATTGGATTTGCAAAAAAAAAATTAATTTCATATTTTTGTAGTTTGTTGGATCCGTTTTTGCTTAACGCTAACAGTCAACCTCATCCTCATGAATGTAGTTTGAGTTGACGTCTGTATTAATTTTTGTGTTTTGTTTTTTTTTCCTGCTGTGTCCAGGTCTTAAACGACACTTGGGTCTCCTTCCCCTCCTGGTCTGAAGACTCCACTTTTGTCAGCTCCAAGAAGACTCAGTATGAGGAGCACATCTACAGGTGTGAAGATGAACGTTTTGAGGTGAGCTAATACGTGTAACTTGTGTTAATGATGACAACAAAAAGACTATATCCTTGAAGGGGGAAAAACATTGTGGTAGATGCTATTTTGCCTTTCCAGAAAATTTCCAATTTTGAAGTTAAATTGGAATAATGACTGAAAAAATCTCTTGTCCTCAAACAGCTGGATGTTGTATTAGAGACCAATCTGGCTACCATCAGAGTGTTGGAGACGGTGCAGCGGAAGTTGTCCCGCATGTCCGCGGAGGAACAGGCCAAGTTCCGCTTGGACAACATGCTGGGTGGCTCCTCAGAGGTCATTCACCGCAAGGCCATCCAGAGGATATACGGAGACAAAGCGCCCGACATCATTGACGGCTTGAAGAAAAACCCTGCTGTTTCTGTCCCCATCGTTTTGAAAAGGTACAGCTTGAATCAAGGGCCAAATCATTTACTGTATGTCTTTAACTCACAGTTGCTTTGTCTCTGTGGAGGTTAGAAGATTAAAATAACATGAATCCATTCTGTGAGTTGGCCCACAATTTATAAACACAGTAATCCACACAAGGAAGGGAGCACAAATATCATGTTGGAATGGTTAATCCAAAAATGGATTAAGAGAAACAGAATGATCTGGCACCTACCTCTGTGTCACGCGCTGAAAGATGCAGATTGTTGTTTAAATTGTCATTCAGATTTGGAGTTCTTACATTACTTTTCTTTTCAAACAGGTTAAAGACAAAAGAGGAAGAGTGGCGGGAAGCCCAGCGAGGCTTCAACAAGATCTGGAGGGAGCAGAACGAGAAGTATTACCTTAAGTCTCTCGACCATCAAGGCATTAACTTCAAGCAAAATGACACCAAAGTGCTTCGATCAAAGTCCTTGCTCAATGAAATCGAAAGCATCTATGATGAGGTCATTTTCTTTCTTTCTGTGATCATTTTCAGCACTTGGCAAGCATAAAGGTTGACTATACACTGCTAGAAATTTTTTTTTTTACTGAAGTTTTGTTTTTTTTGCTCTGCAGCGTCAGGAGCAGGGCTCTGAGGAGACCACCACTCCAGTCACAGGCCCCCACCTGACACTGTCCTACGAGGACAGCCAAATCCTTGAGGACGCAGCGGCCCTCATCATCCACCATGTGAAGCGGCAGACCAGCATTCAGAAGGAGGACAAATACAAAATCAAACAGATCATCTATCACTTCGTCCCTGACATGCTGTTTTCTCAGCGGGGCGAGCTTTCAGATGTAGAGGAGGAGGAGGAGGAAGAGGAGATGGAACTGGAGGAAGGAGCTTCTAAAAAGCACAACGGTGTCCCGGGCAGCGGGAGTCCCTCAAAGTCCAAGCTGCTGTTCAGCAACACGGCAGCGCAGAAGCTGCGCGGCTGCGACGATGCCTACAACCTCTTCCTCGTCAACAACAACTGGTATGTCTTCCTGCGGCTTCACCAGACACTCTGCTCACGTCTGCTGCGGCTGTACGAGCAGGCGGAGCGGCAGATCGAAGAGGAGGTCAGAGAGCGGGACTGGGAGAGGGAAGTCCTGGGGCTCAAGAAGGAGAAAAATGACAATCCAGCCATCCAACTAAGACTGAAGGAGCCCAGTGAGTAACAGTATACCCCGATTTTGTGTTACATTTGTTTGCTTTTCCTTTTCTGACTTTTGTACCATGTCTGTTTGTAAAGGTCCTATCAATGCTATCCTCGTAAAGTGCTTAAACGCAGCGCACACGATAAAACCAGATTCAACAAAAACATAATAGTTCAAACACAAAGTAAAATCTTAGAACACTTGGCATAATGTTTTAAAATGGAAGACGCATGACAAGACCTAAGTGTCGTATCAAGAGTTTGACGTGAAGTCTTTAAAAGTGATTTGAGAGAAGATACTGATGAAACAAGTTGCCGTTTATCAGGCAAGTCGGACCACGACTGCATCTCTCGGTCACCTTCTTTTAGCTTGAGGTGGAAACAGTCTGCAGGCTGTGCTCTGGTTGCAGGGACTGCATTTCCAGTATATCTCTAGGCCATGAAGAGCTTTAAATATAACATGTAAAATGTTCAAATCAGTTGTTAAACGAATGTGCTGTGACTGTAGGAACAATAAAATGTAAGTAACATGTAGCTTGAGGAAAAACTCACCAGTAGTTTTTGTAACAAAAAGTGGAAATGTTTTTTCCCCTCATGCTGTTCCACTTAGTGATCTGTTTTTATTAAATATTTCTTCTCTCCAGTGGACATTGAGGTGGAAGATTACTACTCTGCTTTCTTGGAGATGGTTCGGAATTTGCTGGATGGCAACATGGAAGCATCTCAGTACGAGGACTCTCTGAGGGAAATGTTCACCATTCACGCTTACATCGCGTTCACGATGGACAAGCTCATCCAAAGCATCGTCCGGCAGGTATTGGCTTGTTTTCTCAAGGAAAGAGCTGCTGTAGTTGTTTACCAGCCAGTCACTAACTCTCTTTCCTTCAGCTCCAGCACATTGTGAGTGATGAGATCTGCGTCCAGGTAACAGACCTCTACCTGGCAGAGAGCGCCAGCGGAGCCACTGGAGGAAGCTTGTCCACACAGTCCTCCAGGAGCTCCGCAGAGACGATCTATCAGCGGAAAGCCGAGCAGCTCATGTCTGACGAGAACTGCTTTAAGGTAAATAAAGTTGCCGCTCGCTCTCAAACCTAGCCATGGCATGACGGCAGATTTTTGCTAAAGCTTTGGAAATATGGAAATTGGCTCATTTAAAGTTTAGAAGAGGTACTTAAAAGTAATTTTCCACAAGGCTGCAGGACTGGTTCCTGCACAGTCCAGATGTCAAACTTAATTTGTTGCTGTGAAGAACGTCCTACTTTTACTAACTGGAGAGTTCCCTTTTTTTTTTTCTTTTTTTTTGTGTTTTGGGTGCGTTCACTGTCAATAAATGATCTCCACATTTTAAAACACAAGCAGTATCGTTCAGTCTTTCCCTTGGCAAAGACTGTGAGATTTACACAGCAGCCAGGTTTGTGACAGACACGTGCAATCAGCATGACTTCTGTAGTAGGGTTTTTTCATTGAGAGTACATAAGAGGGTGTGAATCACCAACCAGTTCCTACCCTCTAAAATGGTTGCAGTAATGGGGAGTAAGGATCACCATTTGCACTCACTCATTGCTTCCATTGACTAAAGCTGCTAAAGCCACCTGTCACCAGCGAGCAGATTTGCTTTTTGCCCTACTTTCAGCTTCGCTTTCATTAAAGCTTCACTTTACATTAAATATTTATCCCATTTTGTTAAAAACAGAAATTACCCAACTGGTTTTATAGGTGAATACCTAAAACCCATTCATCCTGTTTACTTTGACTGCAAACTAACTTGTTACGAAAGAGAGATGGAAACTTCCACTGAACACATCCATTTCCACTCTTTTTATAATGTGTTCAAAAATCTGAAGCTCAGTAAATCTAAAAACTGGAATAAAAGAGTAAAATGTTGCAGTATTTCCTGTAATCTGAGCCCTCAGGATATTTTTTTTAATCTGACACATTAAATTATTTCTTACTCTTGGATAGAGAATATCATAGACTTATGGTCTGTTGTCACTACACTGAGTCCAACTACTTGCCAGTTTTTAGCCGAAATCCAAATATCGGATCAGCCCATCTCTTTCTGACGATGTTCTTTTCTGTCCTTACTTTCTCTTCGCTCCTTAGCCTTCTTGTTTCTCTCCACTGTCACAGAGTGCTGGTTTAAAGGGGATCGTTGGTGTTCCCTCTGTGTTGAGTCCTTATTTTTCGTTTGAAAAGTGTCTTAAACTGTCCGTCCTGTTGCTTTCTCAGGTGATGTTTTTGAGAAACCGAGGACAAGTGCAGCTCACGGTGGAGCTGCTCGACACAGAGGAAGAGAACTCAGATGAGCCCATGGAGGCCGAGGTAAGAAACACAACGGTAAATCTTGAGTGTCAAGGTCCATTAGCATCAGGAACTATTTTTAAGCCAATAATCCATCTACTCTTTTGGGTTTTTGGGGTTTTTTTGTTCACATTAAGGATTAAAAAAAACAAAACATGGCTATTATATAAATGATGTGTATATGTGTAATAGGTCCCCTTTAAATAAACAGGCTCTGTGATGTCTAATCAACTGTAAAATGGCAACAATGCTGCACAAATGTTGTTTAAATACTCGCACTGATAAGAGTATTTGTATGGCAGTAGCAGCTCTTCTTTTATTCCCACACTGCTGAAATGTGGCATTTTATTACACACAGTTCAGTTCACTTAGACTAGTCATTTAAAGGCCTGTAATCAAGATAACCAGTGTGTGGAAATACTAGTAAGAACCTGTTGCCAGACTTGTGGTAATACTGGCGCAGTGCTCGTGTTTTCACACTCATAATGTGTGTGTTAAACTTGGGTTTTGTGCTTGTTTTCTGTTTGCAGCGTTGGTCTGATTATGTGGGACGCTACTTAAACCCAGATTCCACAACTCCTGAGCTGAGGGAGCACCTCGCTCAGAAGCCAGTTTTTCTTCCCAGGTGCGTTTTCCACATTTCATCGCTCTCTGATGGGCCACGCCCTGTAAAATTCAAACAGGAGGCTTTTGATTACAGCAACCCTAATTGACTTGTCCTGACATATTCCTGCTCGATTTCATGAGTCAATCTCATCACGTTTGTCTAAACCAGGAATCTGAGACGGATCAGGAAGTACCAGAAGGGCCGAGAGCAGCTGGACAAGGAGGCCTGCGAGGGTGGAAAGAAATCGCTGGATAAGGAGAAAATGGAGTGCATGTTCAAACTAAACTCATACAAGATGGTCTACGTCTTTAAGTCTGAGGATTACATGTACCGACGCACTGCCCTGCTGCGAGCTCACCAGGTATTTACCAGCTAGTGTCGTTATTTAGCTGTTATGCCAGAAATATTTCTTGGTTACAGCGTTCCTGTATTTATCATAAGGGAGGAAAGTGAGTGACCTTTGACCTCCCATTCATTCTGTTTCAACTCTTGGCTCTGTAAGATGTCAGTGAGGGCGGAGGGCTTGGGCTTAGTTTGAGGTTTCTGTGTTCAGTGAGTAGAAAATCTGTTTCGTGACATCAGTCTTGTTTTTCCTCAGTCACACGAGAGGGTGAGCACGCGACTACACAAACGCTTCCAGGCCTGGGTGGAGGCGTGGGTCAAAGAGCACGTCACCCGCGACATGAGCGCCGAGACCAACAAGTGGCTGATGGGCGAGGGACGTGAAGGCCTACTGCCCTGCAGCACCACCCGTAACCCAGAGGTCCTTCACTTCATGAACATCAACAAATATCGTGTGAAATACAGCACACCTAGCAAGGCACCGTAGCCAGCCAGACCCACGAGGGCAAACGGAAGCAGACTGACTTTTGGGGGGTTTAGGTCTGATATCAAACAGGAATAGAGGTAGAGACGAAAGGTCGTCAATGTGTTTTTAAAGCGGACATGGGAGCACAATTAAGCTAGCTGCCGTTTGTGTTGAAACCGGGGTGGGCAGGATTACTGAAATCCTTTTTTTTTTTTTTTTTTTTTTTTTTTTTTTTTTTTTTTTAATTTTAACCAGCGTTTTTAGCTGGGCCCATATTATTATTATTATTATTATTTTTATTTTTATTTTTTTTCTTAAATTTATTTTTCCCCAGGGCCTTCGGTGCCAAAACTTAGGAATGGTCATGTTCCAGTCGCAGACCTGAGCTCTTACCAGCACTCAGAGCCACGTCACAAACTTCCTCGAGCCTTTACGACAGAGCTTAGCGACATAAGAAAAGAGAGTGTGGTGCTTTTTTTTTTTTTTTTTTTTTTAACTTTATCACGGCTGAGCTTCAATTCAGCCTTAGACAGTCTGAAGCCATCCAAGTAATCGAGTTCCATCAAAATCAAATACACAGGGATTTATTTATGAAAGTGTTATTCTGTAGTATTTTCTGTAGTATTCACTGAGAACAATATGATGGACAAGTGCACTTATTTAGAAAAAAAGGGGGAAACTGTTCAGAAATTTTGTTTCCCAGATTGAAGGTTTGGGGGGAGCTCGGTAAAGTCTGAGAGATCTGGTTCAGACATTCCTGTGTTACGGCCAAATCACAATCATGTCTCATCAAGCAGACTGAAAGAGGGTTACAGTTTCTTTTCCAAAACACATGGCAGCACTATTAGAAACGGTGCCTGAGCTCCAAACCGCGTTGTCGGGTTAACTTAGAAAAAAGCACTGTTACATCTAATGTTTTAAAAAAAGAAAAAAAAAAGGGGCCTCACAACACTGTTTGGTCTCAGACTGTAAAATTGTATAGCTCGTGAATGTCAGATACTGACATGTATTCCAGTGTGTGTGTTGTGTATATATATTATATATAGTTCTATTAACACACACAATCCTCGCCGCCCTGGAAGTCAACCTTTTTAAGATGCCCTCCGCCAATACACCAGCTTTAACACACTCAAATACGAACACACAAACACACACATGCACATCTTGCTCATGCCCTCATGTTGTAAATACACTGTGTATATAGTCTCAGACTTTTTTATGACAGATCTGTGTTGTTGTGCTAGTAATACTTTCCAAGCTTACTGTGGACTTTAGTGATAAATGGCTAAAGTTAGTATGTATATGAAAAAGATAAATGCAAGACCATTTATTACCGTTTTTACCAAAGGGAGTCGATTCTAAAATAGCTGTTTTTGCCCCCTTTGTGTGTTCCTTTATGTCTTTTGCTTTTTAATTTCTGTAGTTAAACATGGGTGGTGGGGGAGGGGAGTAGAAATGTATCCAGGTCTTTCCATTTATTTGAAACAAAACCATCTTTTCTTTTCTGAGTGTCACATTTGTTTTCAATAAAATCACTGCCCCCGATTTCTGACAGCCGACACCGTCCGTGGTGATGGTGGGACTCATTTTAAAGTTCAGTGGACTCCACCACAGTCTCGCATTGTGATGCACGCTTTCCTCCCTGGATAGATTTCTGCTGTAAACATCACCCCACACCATATTTTTGATAATGGAAGAAGTCACATGAGCATGTCTTTAGTCCCTTTATTTAGACATTATTTAAAGTAATAATAAAAATGACATTTGTAGCCTATAGAGATCTTTTATTGTGTTGAGTGATTTATTTTTTTCCACACTTTCATCTCATCTTTCAGTCTCTGGTTTGCAGTTTTATTGGTGGGAAATATTATGAAAGTTCATAAAATGCAGTACTTCTTTACAGCCCGCGCTCTAAATACGTTATCACCTGTATTGCACCGTAAGAAGTAAAACAAAAAAGACCAAGAAGAATGATTTCTACAGCAAAAATTACAAACTCCCCCAGTTTGCCTTTGAGTTGGCTGAACAAATCAAGTCAGCCAGTTGCTCCTCAGTGCTCTGGAGTTGTTTATTTCTATATAAACACTGCCTGGAATCAAAGCTCGCCTTAATCAAATACAGCCCATCTGCATTAGTTTGCATGCCTATATGATCTTTATGTTCACACACATTTGAACTGATGTTACTGACCTATGAGGGATAACCAGGGCAGCTCGGTGTTGAAGGAGGAGAAGCTGTCGCAGGTTTTGTACCTACACCGTGTAAACCAGGATTGTTGCAGCTGCTGACTGTGCTGCAGGAACCTTTCAGTCTATTTCAGTGAAGCACTTTAAACACCACTAACTAAAGCAGAATCTTCCTATGTAAGATCAGCTGGCCTTTTTTTGCACAGCATCTTAAAAAGGCAGGAGAAGTTTTACCTTTTAAGTTACGTATTCCTGACCCGTTATGAAAGAGAATATACGTGGACGAAGAACTTAACGCTATCAGAGTGCACAGTGCACCTCAAACAGAAAAGTCTCTATATATGTTCTTTCCATCACACTGAAATGTCCAAACTATTATCCAGAATATGTAAACATAATTGTTTCTCCATTAGGCAAAAAGCTAAATTCAAGTATTAAAACCTGACCTGCATGTGATGAGCCTGATATCGAAGTAAGGTTGAAAAGTTAGACCTTTCAAATGCTGTGACTTATTCTCACAGGGCGTCTATCCTACATGGTATTAACATTTACACACAATGCACATTTTAAAGTTTTCTCCACTGAATTATCAGGAAACACATCAAACACCCAGAGTAGCTGTGCTCGTTGCTGTTACTCAGTGACTTTAAATTGCAGCAATTTTGCTGCTTTTTTTGAAGCTTAAAGTTGGCTAAAGAAATGTTTTGCTTTGAGAGCAATGCTTTGGTTTTAAATTGTGTCCACTTCCATGTGACGGTCTCCTGTACAAAAGTTCTGAGGGTTAGAAAATGCTGGAAAAATTACGTATATTAAATGTGGCAGGCTGTGGCAGTGAGTGCTTAAAATGTTTACATTTTGATGGTATGAAGAAAAAAGGAAAAATTGCATGGCTTCCTTAAAGTAAAGATGGGTTCAGCTCATTTGTAATGTACTTCTGAGTGGATCAGGTGGGAGTCATGCTCTGATTCTTTGAAAGATCCAGCAGCTAAGAAGCTCATAATAGGCTGTTTTAGATTTTAGCCAACAAATTAACTTAAATAATTAAATTATTTTTAAACTGGCTAATTTACCCTTCTATTATCCCGTCCAGGTCGCACTGTGTAGCTAATTGAATCTTTATAATCCACTGCCATGCTCTTCTGGGAAGTGCTGGGAAAATGATATGTTAATAGGGCTGAAGGTCTCCACTGACTTTCAGCGTGCTTTTATACAGTGAGCAAGAAAGCTGTTTTAAATTGCATCTGTCAAGATAACAATGTCTTTCTAAGGACGTATTAGCATGATTATTAGCACAAGGGGAAAGTTTAAGAATTCCATCATGAAACTGTCAGTTCTCCTAAAATCCTGCAGAGGGCGACCTCACCCTGTCCACCAGCATCCCGGGGTCACTTGTGTTGAGTTTATAAGGACAATTATTATGCAGCCTCACAGATGAAGTCAAGTTTTATGTCTTTTGATTTATCTGTGTTGTGTTAATTTGCAGGATGGATGTAGTAGGAAGTAGGTGTTAGACTTTGAGCCTCACTTTTACTGAGAAAAGACATTTTAGGTTAAACAATAAACTCTTGCAAGACTGATGTCTGTATTTGACAAGATTCATACTGGTGTACTCAGTTGTTTGGAAACTCGTATTACACAGAATCCTAAGTGATTGAAATTTAAAAAGCCAAACATTCAGGTTACCATTAAATTGAGAGGAGCAGGAATTCAAGAAGCAGAAAATAGCAACAGGAATACTTTATTTCTTTGTTACGGAGATCAAATGACCATTTTTATTTTATTATTTTATTTATTATTGTCACCTGGCAGAATTCATTTTACACAATGCTGCCAGGTATCCAATGAACTCTGAAGAATACAAAAAAAAGAAACTGTTAGACCCTAAAATGCAACATGTTAAGATCAGTGGATTTAAATACAAATCCACTGACTAGATAAAAATATTTGCTGCTCCTGCATGGACGTCCAATTTGGTGTTAGCTCATATGATAGATTAGAGCAAAAGTATACACTGGTCACTTCATTAGTTACTCCTTGCTAGTAGTAAGTTTGACCCCCTTTGTGCCTGGTGTGACTTTGCAGCCCATCTGCTTCAGGCTTTGAGAGGCGCTCAGAGATGCTGTTCCACATCTTCAAACCCTGGCCTTGCATTACCTTTATGTCATATGGGTTATCTGATCAACCCGATGTGCTTCACTCGCACCTGCTCACATGCATACCTTGATTGTGATGAGTAGTTGGCTGAGTCTGGCCATTTTCCTCTGACATGTGGCATCAGCCTGGCATTTTTGCCCAGAGAACTTCTGCTCACTGGACATTTGCTCTTTTTCAAACCCTTCTCTGTGAACTCTAAAGATGGTTGTGTGGGAAAATCCCAGGAGATCAGAAGCTTCTGGAATATTTAAGAGTAGCTCGCCTCGCACCAACAATTAGCTTAAATCTCCTTTCTTTCCCATTCTGGTGCTAAGGTTGTCTTGAACGTCTCTACATGCTGCCATGTGATTGGCTTATTTTTACACAACCATAGAGAGGCTGCTAATATTTAAATATGATGACACATCCTTTTGGAAAATCGCAAGCAATGAAAGTACCCAGAACTTGTATTGGTCTCACCCCTGAAGGGTGCTGAAGTTTAGCAGGCAGGACTTGTCTTTGCAGCCGGCAAGGAACAGTAGAAACAAAAGGACCCAGGACGAGTTCAGGTACGGGTCACTGAGTTCTTCTAGGTGAAAAGGCCTCTGTGGGTGGTCTCACATACTGTACAGAAATCACTGAAAATGCCCCAAAGCCTCTCCCCAAACTTAATGTACCCTGACCCTTTCAGATCCTTTCACAACATTTCCACTCAGACTCACACACACAAACACACTCAGCTTTCCCCCACTTTGCTGCCATAGCGTTGAGGCCCTGACAAGGAGTGAGGCCGATACATGGCAACAGAGCCCTCCATGCCTCCCACTAGCAGCGCTAACAATGAGATCCTCAAAGGCCGCAGCAGCTGAGGGGGAATGGACACCCC